GATAGACAGGAACTCTCAGGCTGGGGCAAGGGATGCTCTGTCTTCTTGGTGCTTGGGGGGGGGGCCAACAGTGGGAGGGGCTCCTGGTGTCCTCCTGGCCCCACTGTTGGACCTCCTGAGGGCACCTGGTATCTCTGGCCACTGTGTGACAGACAGAGTGTTGGACTGGATGGGCCACTGGCCTGATCCAACATTGGCTTCTCTTATGTTCTTACGTAATACCAACACTCTGGGCACCCAATGAAGCTGATCAGGACGGACAAATGGAAACCCTTCCTTACAGAATAAACAATGAAGCTGTGGCATTTGTGGCCAGTGGAAGTCACAAGGGGCTTAGAAGGATTCACGGGGGAGAGGTCCCTCCCTGGCTGTGAGCCCAAGGGAGCCTCCACCAACAAAGGCAGTCAACCTCCGAATCCCAGGGCCAGGAAGCCACGCATCGGGGGGGGGGGGAGGCCTCGGCCTCCGTGCCCTGCTGCTGGCCCTCCGGAGGCACTCGCTCTCACACGGCAGGGTCACGCGTTAATCTGGGCCCAGCCGTTCCCGGCAGTCTCTTTTTGTGAGCGGATTAAGGCCTCCTCCTCCTTGCCAGTCTGGGGTGGCGTTCCAGACGGAGGAGCCGGCCCGGGCAGCACGCGGCCCAGCTGACCCGCAGGAGGCGGCTGAATGGAGGCCTTTGTGTGCGGCAGAGCCCCCTCGAGAGGCGGGGGACGCAGCGCCCCCTCCCCAGCAGGAAAAGGGGGTGCCGGGTGTGTGTGGGGGAGGGGGAGTGGCCATTGGAACGCACGGGTCTTCTTTTGCCTGGGCGTCTTCTTCCCTTTGCACCCGCCAGGCAGCCTGGGTGAAGGCACAGACCTGCCAGGAGCCGGTGACAGGTGTGGTTTGTGGCCAGTGCCCCAGCTGAAGCTGTGGGGGTGGCTGGCCAGCTCCCGTTGCCCTTGGCTGCAAGTCCAGGCGGGGCTCAACTCCCCCCTGAGGAGCTCTCGAGCCAGGCTGCTCCAGCCACACCCACCCCTCCGCTCTGGCCTGGGAGTTCCCTCCTGGCCACCGGAAGAGGCTCTCCAGGCAGGCAGGCAGGCAGGCAGGCAGGCAAGGCTCTCTCTCCCTCCCTCCGCACGGCCCTCCGGCCCCTACCCGCTGGGCAAGGTCCGGCCTGCGTCTGTCAGGGAAGGGCCACTGGCCCCAGGCGCTGAGCAGCCCCGGGGCACCACCCCTGCCCCGCAACTGCCCCACGGCCACCGCTGCTTCCAGGCGGGACGTGGCACGGCCTCCCCCCCCCAGGGGATGATGGGTTGGCCAAGCCCGGTGTGTGACGGTGTGAGCAAACGCAGCCCTGGCGTGGCGCCAGTCCCAGGAGACAAACACTGCCGGTCCAGGGGTGTGGCCGCCCCACGGGCCCCAGGCAGACAGTGGCTTCGACTTCAGAGCCTCGGCTGGCAGGCTCTTTCCCCCCTGGAAAGCCGGACCAGGCCTGGGTGCCCCGATCTCTTCCTGCCAGCGGGCTCAGCAGAGGGAACCCGTGTCCCCCCCCCCGTCCGGGGCAAGCCAACCCCCCCCCCA